CGGAAGTGGCGCTGTGGCTCAAGTGGTAGAGCGCTAGCCTTGAGCTGAAGAGCTGAGGGACAGCGCCCAGGCCCAGAGTTCAGGCCCCACAACCGGACCTCCCCCCCCCAAAAAAAAGCTAAGTGCCCAGGCCCTAAGTTCAGGGCCTAATACCACCACTAGCTAAAAATAAAAGCAAAACACCACCAAAACCACCATTGTATACCTCTAACAGCCTTGTTCCCAGATAAGAAACTGAGGCTTGGTGAGGAGAAATAACTTGCCCAAGCTCCTAAAGACCTGTCCCAGTGACTCAGAAGTATAGACTTTCCCTTACATTTCTTGCCGGGTTTTAATGCACTTACTGTATGCCAGGACAGTGTGAAGTGCTAGAAGAGCTGGGGTGAGTTCAGTAGTAAACAAGCAGGGACACTGCTACCCTGGCAGGGATTCAGTGAAGGTCTAATGGAGTTCTTTGTGTGTTCATATGGTTTTCCTTCCACTATGAAAAAAAATCACTTAAACATGGATAGGGGCTTGTGTACTGCCCTGTTCCCATTCACGTTTCTGTCTCCAGTTTCTAGCAAGTGTCCCATGCATGGTTAACAATAGAGGCATTGACTTAGTGGAGTGTTGCTCTCACGTTATCATAGCAGAAATGGAGGCCTGGAGATGTTAAGGGAATGCTTAGGAAAGGGGTATGGGATTTGAACCTGTCATTTTCTGATATGAAGCAGAATCTCTACCACACACCCCACTTAGCTTCCTATTTGGGACCTTGTCAGGGGGAGGCTGTCCTTCAGGGCTTAAGCACAGGAAACTTGCAGAGCAGTTGTGCTGTTTTCCTAGATCTTCTGAAATAATTAGATGTACACGGAAAAGCTGACACAGTCTTTGAAAATTAGGCCTACTTGTAAGAAGAAGGAGTTGAAGTCACTAACTGCTCATGTATTGCTTGCAGGGATATCTGCCCCCATTGTCTTTTTTGTGGACTATGCTTCTAATTGCTTATATATGGAGGAGATCGAAGGTTCAGTGACTGTTCGAGATTATATTCAATCCACTATGGAGACTGAAAAAGCTCCCCAAAGCCTGTTTGCCCTAGCCAGGAAAATCGGGCAGGTTTTGGCTCGAATGCACGACGAAGACCTCATCCATGGTGATCTCACCACCTCCAACATGCTCCTGAGGCCACCCCTGGAAAAGCTGGACCTGGTGCTCATTGACTTTGGGCTGAGTTTCGTCTCGGGCCTTCCCGAGGATAAGGGAGTAGACCTCTATGTCCTCGAGAAAGCCTTCCTCAGCACCCACCCCAACACCGAGCCTGTGTTCCAGGCCTTTCTGAAGAGCTACTCTACCTCATCCAAAAAGTCCAGACCTGTCCTGAAGAAATTAGATGAAGTACGCCTGAGAGGAAGAAAGAGGTCCATGGTGGGGTAGAGGATTATGTGCCACCTCATCCACCACCTGGCTGTTCAGTCAGTGAGGAATCACTGTGGAGAAGCGGATGTGAATAAAGGTGTCGGGACATCTGATGTGCTTTGTGATCATGCTGCTAAGCGTCATTGTCATCAGTGGGTACCCTGACAACCTAGAATGGCTGTCTTTTTCTCACATTGTCACTTGAGCCACATAGTGAGACAAAGACAATCTGAATTGGGGACAGTTTGTTTTCATCAGCAGAGAGTATATTTGGTAAAGTCTGGTTTGTTTTTATTTATTTATTTTTTGTTGGTCATGAGGCTTGAAAATGGGCCTGGGCGCTGTTCCTCAGCTCTTTAGCTCAAGGCTAATGCTGTACCACTTGAGCCACAGCACCACTTCCACCTTTTTCTGCTTATGTGGTGCTGAAGAATTGAACCCTGGGCTTCATGCATGCGAGGCAAGCACTCTACCTCTGAGCCACCTTCCCAGCCCTGGTAAAGGCTGCTTTAAAGAAGAGATGTAAAGTACTAGTAGCTAACTTTAAATCTTGTTGGCAGCGCCTCACTCTCAAGGAGGTGTGTGGCTGAGACCCTTTCCTCCCCAAGGTGAGGATAAATACATACAGGCCAGCAGCGGTTCCTTCCATACCTCAGGGTCTCTTGCAGGGCTGGGGAGGCTGTGTGGTTCCACCTACCTCAGCCCACAGTTGTCACAGTGAAAACTCAGCTGCTTCCTGTGAAGCCTCCATGTGAGGGTCATGGTGGAAACGGTACCGAACGGTTGTGTCACTAGCCTCCATTGGTGTCAGCGGTATTCACACTCAAGGTTCTAGTAAATACTGAGTGGTTTCCATGTTCTCTGCATGCATGCATGAACCCATCTAGTGGAGGAAACTGCTGAGGGACAGAAATTGTCCTGCCCAGAGTCACTGTGTGGCAGAGCCAGGAAGTGTGGTGTGACACTGAGACACGTCCAACAGTAAAAAGGACACTGGCCAGTATTTCCTGGAATATAAGAGTGCTCTTGTGGCCTGTCCAAGGGGCCAAGAGAAGTGGTACTTTTAAGGCCTGGAGCAGTGGGTATGTTGTGAGCTGGCCTGCCTACACAGACACAGGATTGGGGTGGGGAGGGTCAGGTGAAGGCATGTGGAGTATAATGATATAACCAGAAAAGTAACCTTAACCCTGATTCTGGTTTCTGTAGAACTAGTTAACAAAAACAGCACGTAGGCTGAAGGTTGTGACGTGCTCCCTTAGATCCGCTGCTTAGGCCAGTGCCCCTGCAGGACGGCTGATTGCCAGGCCTGGTAGGGAAGCCTGGGTTTCCTGAGCAGCCTTATGGAAGCTAGGAGTCTTTTCCTTTCTGTGGCTCTCATTTGCCACCAGAGGTCGCAAGTTACTGCCATTCCCTGTAGACAGTAAAGAGGTTAAAGAGAGCTTCCTTCTATCCTTTCCCTCTTTCCTCTTCTGTCCACTCTTCCTCCTATCTTCTTCCCTCCTCTACTTCCCAACTCCCTGTTTCCCTTCTTTTCCTCCCTTGAATTTGCTCATGTATTCTCACCCTAACACTTTAGCTGACAATGGGAGAGTTGGGTAGCTATGAGTAACATCAGCCCTCAGGCCTCCTTTCCTTCCCTTACTATACAGACAAGTACACATCTTTAAATCTGGAAGGCCCAAACTGTTCACAGCACCTGCTGCCTCTCCATCAAGTGAGACGCGTGGGTTGGGTCTGTGTGTTTAAGTCTGGATTAGGGCAGTGACCGACAGCTTGACTCCAGACTTCCAGCTCAAGGCCTGAGCAGTCTTTAGCTCCCTCTGTGCGTGGAGAGAAGGCCAAGTTTCCCAGTCTTCAGTTTCCATCTGTGAAGTGAAACTTTTTGTTGTTGTTGTTGTTGTTGTTGGTTGTGGGCCTTGAACTGGGGCCTAGGCACTGTCCCTGAGCTCTTTTGCTTAAATCTAGCGTTCTACCACTTTGAGCCACAGTGCCACTTCCATTTCCAGTTTTCTGGTGGTTAATTGGAAGTAAGAGTCTCACAGACTTTATTTCTGGGGTTGGCTTTAAACCACAATCAGATCTTAGTCTCCTGAGTAGCTAGAATCACAGGTGTGAGCCACAGGTACTGGGTCAGAAGTGAAGCTTTTGATGTGGTTGCTGCTTCTGAAGGTATATCAGAACAACTTGGTCCCTATGTCCCACCTTAGGGAAGGATGGGTTGGCCTTAAACCAGGGTGCTCCTGCTCCTGTGATTCCATCTCCAACTCCAGCCCTGCCAACCTGGCAGAAGTCAGGAGAGTGCCCATCCTGGGGAGATACAGGTTCAGTTTCTTGAGCTCAGTGCTGGCTATGTGGGTGGATTGGTTTGTAAAACTTCATCCTGCTGAGTGCACACTTGCTTGAACTTCGCTTTTCTGTATTTATGGTTCTATACAAAGCTTGTAAACACATGAATAGAACTTAGGCTAGTTCCCCTCCTAGTTATTTCATGTGTGCCTGGCCTGTCACAGCCGCTTTCTCACCGAGCTCCCCTCTTGTGCCCTCCCTTCCCACAGCAGCCTGGAGAATCCTGGTACCTGTCTTTCCTCAATTTGGGGCTCTCCAGTGGTCCCCACCTCCCTCAGAGCTGCGGGAGCACCTGGGCCACCCAGCACTCATCCTTCTCACCCTTCTGCATCCTCCCTGGCCTCTCCCTGCGATCAGCCCTCTTGGCTCCTTGTCTTCTTCCAACACACCAGCTCAGTCAGGGCCTTGTGTTTGCTGTTTCCTTTGCCTGGAACACCATTCCACAGCCTGCACAGGCCCGCCTCCCTTGTGTCCTTCAGCACTCCCAGGTGCATGTTGTCTGAAAAATCCCCGACATCCCTCAGTCCACCTGCTTTGAGCTTGCTGGCTATGTCCCCCTCCAGAACATGGGCCCTGGGCAGGGAGCTTGGTAGCTCCACTGATCTAGCCTGTTTCCACAGTGGTGCCTGCAATGTAGGAGGCCACGCCTGCACCTCCTGCTTGTCGGAGATCGGGGATCCCTCCTGCTATTCCAAACATGCTCATGCACGTGCGCATACACACGTACAGCAACACACTCCAACCACCCATCCCCCCACCCCCAAATACGCTTCTGCACGTGCACATACAACACGCACATCAACACACTCTACCTACCCACCCACCCACAGTCTTCCAGGCTGGAGGCAAGGCAGAGAGTGATATCCTGGCCTGTGGTTCGGAACAAAAAACAGTGAGAACCCTGGGGGTCTGATGACGATCAAAGCCTTCTCATGTTTGTGAACCGTCCCCTTCTGCCCAGGGTACAGGTGGGCAAGGGACTGCCCAGAACCCAGAGTTGTCACAGCTCCAGGTCTTTCCCTTAGCAAGGCCAAGCTGCTTAGCCCTGCCCTCTAGGGAACCCAGGGGGATGACTCGTGCCCTCCCCCCCTCCCCTTGCCACCTCCCCTGAGGCTCTCCACTGGGTCCCACCTCAAAGCCAATATTGCTCTTGGATGATCAGAGGCCCCAGTGAAGTATCCTGCTGAAAGATGCTGACAGCGGCATCTTTTGGAGATTCCCTCCTGGGGTGGGAGGGAACCAGGAGCCCCTTCTGAGAGGGAACTGGAAGCCGTGCAGTTGCTGCAGTTACTGTCCCTGTGCTGCCCTCCCGGCTTCTCATCATGGCCTAGAGCATAAATTTACAGGATCTACCCATATCCTGCTCATGGTAGTGACAGGAAAGCTATGAGAGGGCTGTGCCTGGCCTGGTCTCCACCATCTCCCGCCACAGAACGATGCCTGGTGTTCAGCAGCAGCTTAGTCCTCCCTGGTGAACAACTGCATGATTGCAGTGATGTTTGTGGTAACTGAGTGCAACCTAAGGCCAGCTTGGCCCCTCCATACCTGTCCATCCTCGCCAGGCAGTTCTAGGCACTGAGAATGTGGCCGGGGAGAGGAGGACTCCATGAGCTCTTGGAGTTTGACCTGGTAGGAGATAGTTTCAAATGGTGAGTCATGCTTCAAGGGGAATGACAGGGACCATGGACAGAGTGAATGCCATGGAGTTGAGGAAGGCTGTACTTCGTTGGATTGGGGGCCCCTCTGAGGAAAGGCTCTCGTTTGAGTTGAGATCTGAGAGAGAAGGAAGAACAAGATACTGTGTAGGTGGGGGTTGGGAGGTTGCTGAGTGAGATCCAGGCAGAGCAGTAAAGCAAAGAGCCTGGTGTGTTGCAGCAGCAGGAGTCAGCTTGAGAACAGCATGGTTTGCAGTTGAGGAAGGAAGGGGGCCTGGGGATGAAAAGCTAGGTGGGTCCCAACTGTCCACTTAAGTTGCCAGCCTATAGCAAACCCTGAATAACTGACCTGATGACTGGAATGAATCCATCCAATCCAATTATTTTCCAACCTTTGATGCCATTTGATGGGACCCGGGATGGTGGTGGTGTAGGTAGCTGCCCTGTGCTAAATGAATAAACGGTAAAAAGTACTTATAACAATGAATCGCTTTTGTTTGTTGACCCGTCCATTTCAAGTAACTAAAAACACAAACACAGTAGGCTCACCATCATCACTCCCCTCTAGAAAAGCTGGATATTTGCCGTGTATGGTTCTCGCCAATCTCCCAGCTGCCACCTCGGTTCTGCCTGCCTGAGCTGGCACCTTCCATTCTCAAAGTCACCCCACATCCTAGTTCCCAGTTCTGCATGACACACCACCTCGCACCCAGAAACAGCACATGTTGTTCTTTGCACAGTTCTCTGTGGAGTGGGCTCTGAGGGGTGGGTCTGTATCATAGGTTGTAGCCAAGGCTACTCAGCTGGCTGCATTTAACTGAGGTCCCAAATGACTTCTCATCTTCCAGAGCCTTCTCTAGAGTCTGCCATCATTTCATAGCCTAGCCCAAGACTTTTATAACATGACACTGGATATGGCTAAGTTTGTTTCTTTCCATTAGAAGGGCAGCCAATAATAAGTGCTATCAGGGATGTGGGACAACTGGGACCTTCCCACACCATAGGTGGACCCCTTAGAAAACAGTCCAGTGATGCTGAAAGGGGTGGGCATAGAGTGACAATAGGATCCAGAACTATCGCTCCTACAGAGACCTAAAAGAAATGAGAACATG